AGAAGGACCTGCGAAGGTCCAAAATTTCTTCCTGGGTAGAGTTTGATTGGTGCATATACACTAATTCTACATTCATCTTCGTGATTCAAGTATATTGTTCTAATTTTCGTTTATGTGGCATTTATGGGCAGTCAGGGGCGAAAAATTCAAAATACATTAAGGTTTGGGGTAACATACATGTCGCGGTCGTTAAGTCGCAACGATTTTCAAAAATACTATACTTTCTACGACTTTACGACTTTATTTATATATCGTATCTAGGAAAAATACGTGGAACGTGTGTTGGAACAAAATTTTGGACGCAGTTCCGATCCCATTCAAAACTGAAAAAATTTGTCAACTCTGAACGATCTAGTTCCTGAACCCTGTTCGAATGCCTTAACCCGTTCCAGATGGCCATCAGACTAGTTCGAAATAGATTTGAATGCCCATTCAGTAGGTTTTTGTTGTATAACCCGTTCGTTAGCTGCTGGGTGTGTCCGCCGGTAATTTTCCAGTTCAAAAATCGGTAGAAAGCAACGTTGAATTTCCGAAAAAGTAATCTCATTTTCTAGAAATCGATTTGATTTTCTACCTTTTTGAAAAAATATGGTTGGACAAGTGTGAGAAAAGTTTGATATACAGTCCATCGAATGTCTCGAAAAGCAGAAGAAGTCATTGCCGATGGATCCTGAAACAAGACTGGAAAATGATCACTCGTACTGAAGTGGATGACCGACACATTCTCAACAGATGCCGAACAACGGATGAAATCTATGATGTTTGAAGAACGCTTCGATGCTGGTTCTCCCGGTTTCCTTATATTAAGATTAGTTCGTCAGGTTACTTTACCGGCATGTTGTTTTGTGCATATATGATTTGATTTCATTGGCATTTCACATCGAATTAAGTGATCGATAGCTATAGCTGTTGCTTAATAAGCAAGAACACCACGTATAACATTTTCCAGCTAAAAATAGACAGAAAAAAACTTATGATATATTCATGCAATAAACATACGAAATAATGCAAACGACATAAAACAAAACCATTTGCGTAAACGATAATATTGAATAAAAATGTTAAAAAATCAGTGGCTAATGTATACAAATGCAGGGTATTGAAGAGTGCCATAAAGCCAAACAAGATACCTGTTGATATTTGTGAAAATTCCTGCTGAGATCCACATACAATCAAGAGCAGGATATTACCAATAAAACCAACACCGGATGTATAGCAAGTAGCAATTGTTTAAAATCACAACAGAGCGCAGAGAGCCAATTGTGACGATTGAACCAAGCTGATGATGGTGGAAGTGGTCATCGCTATTGACATCGTTGTCATATTTGTATTCATGCTAACAGTAGTAAAAAACAGACGAAGATATGAATATCATGCCGTGCAAGCTTAATAAATAAGTGACATGAAAAGTTATATGAAATTTCAATAGCGTGCTTTTTATTTCATTGTTGTGTCATGTATTTTAGTATAATTATCTGAAAGTAATAATTGGTGTTATAATTATACCTGACTAGATTACAGATTCAGAAATATAAGAATAACATACATACATAACAAAGTAATTATTGTTATCTCACATGAAAGTTGTATGTTTTCTGAATCGTAAAATATCGTAATGAAAAGTTCAGAAATCTGTACGTTTCGATCAGAGTACCAATTATATCAACCAAAAAAAACGTGGTAAACATTTATCCAGATTCGGTGTTGAAACTTTAATTCTCATAAGGGACGGGGCTAAATTTAATTCATCAAATCAAAAAAGAAATTTTTTCCATAGCCATATCTTATTTTATGCGTTAGCGTTGCTCTATACGATGATTTTACCTTCAACACTATGTGGATGTAGTTCAGTTCGTTAACAAACATATACTTATCTATCCATATATTTCATTCATATCTACAGTCATAGACGTCAGTATCCAAAATGAGATAGCATCCGATCTAAGACTGGCCTAAATCACTCTGCCATCTGAGTTTGAATTACTCTAAACTCCGATTCAAGTATGGTCTGCCCTTTTCCAGACGAAACGCCGATTCAAATTTGAACTAGGTTGAACTAAAATGTAAGAAAAAGCTTGACGTTCGATCTACGATTGACGTAAAAAGCTAGACCAAACTAAGATTCGACTGCTAGCGAATGTCGGATTAATCCAGTATAGTCTTCTAATGTCTAAATTTTGTCGCAAACTTTTATTTTTCAACAATCACCGCTGTCCATATATTTTCTGATTCCAAGCGAAGCCAGTCTCAGCCAAAACTTGGCCGAACAACAGTATAGTTACATACAACGGCAGGACTCCATCGTACAGATACAATCGTGCAATAAACTAACAGTTTATATAACAAATTGGCTTTATGTTAATAGTCAGCACTTTCACATGCAGATATTTCATTTTTATTAATGTGAGATGTTCCTTGTAAGCCGACATGTATACGATGTCACAGTTACATTAGGAACGGAAGGAAGAAATAGAGTTTAATGTGGATTCACGCTAAGCCTTAAGAGAGACTCCGTGAGAAAATCGAGAATGCTGCGAAAAAACGATAAAACCTCCGAAAAATGAAAGCTTTTTAAATACGATTTTTGGATTCTTCATCCAAAAAACTACCTGTAAATCCACGTTTTTAGCCTTTGAACACTTTTCCTCGTTGAGAAAAATCTTTTTCAAAAGAATAGCCAACAAGTTTTCTTCCAAAGTTGAAGATTTCTGTATTTCTTGTACTTTTAATTGCAGCGACATTATCATACATTTGATTTTCTTAAATTAAACATTATTCGAACGAGCACAAAAACCTCAACGAAACCTGATATTGTTCAGGTCTTAAATAAAGTTTTCGTTCTCAAAAAAAAATTAAACGATGTACCATTAGAAAAAAAAGCAGCTAATTTATCCGGTAAAACAATTATTATGACAACAAATTCTCTCGGCTTAGAGTAATTTTTAGCCCATCTTGTAGAGAATTTTATTCTCTACAAAATACTAAATTGAAGTATAACCTTCGCAACAGGCCGAAAAATGTTCAACAATGACTACCATTAGAATTAGCATATCATAGAAATTATTTTAAACATGATTTTCATTTATATAGAGCCATTTTCATCATCAATGTGTAAAAACATGCTAAGAAAGGCATTTATGAATAGGTAGAATATTAATAGCCGGACGTTGAAAATAAGTAGTAAATAATTGCATTACTGTCTGTTCAAAAAAATAATGGATTCTGCTGTTTTTTCAATCACTTTTGATAGAAAGCAGCTAGAGAGCTCTAATTAGTGGCATTCGAAAGAGGAGACTGGGAGGATGATTCCTTAATCAAACATTTTTGGTTTTTAAGGCTCTGTTTTTCAGGGCATTCCCCGTAATGATCTTATCTCTACGAAAACTCACCGGAAAATTCTGGAAAACGTCTCACATTGAGGAGCACATTTTCTTCTATTAACCTAGCTATGAGAAAAAATTTTGAATATATAGGAAAGGAGAGAAACATTTACGAATCTAAAAACTTGAGATTTTATAGGCTTTGAAGGAAAACCGTAAAAATTTCATCTTTTTTTCAAGGAAGGTCATGAAGAACTGGGAATGGTCTGATTTTAAAGCCCAGACTTTCTTCTACATTAGGCTATGTTCAGCTCGAAATGAAAGATTTTTTGCAAAAAAAGAACGGAGAATCCTTAAGCAAGTTGTTCGCCACTGTAAGAGGTTGTCTACTACTCTGAAAAAAATATCGAGTTTTCCCATAGCTTAAGCAGGATTTAGAAGAATGCCACCAGCAGAAACCACTAAAGGTTTCATAATTTTTATCTAAAAACGCCTAAAAAGGTTTAGTAAAGAGTGTCTCATGTTTACTAAACGTCTTATCAGTTCAAGAATTAAGAATTCTTTTTCAAATGCATAATTTTCATTGTCACTGCAGTAATCGATAAATCTCACGGTTTCTATAGCTAACGGGTTTAGTGAAAAACACAAAAATTAAATATTCGTTTTTCCACACTCTCAGAATATGATTGCTTTCTTGTTCTAATACGCCTAACATGAAACACTTTAACGAAACTGTATCATATACATGAATAGAAACAAGAATATAAAAAATAATATAATAAAAACAAAACTAAAAAGAATGACATCTGTTATCTTTTCTGAAATGCTGAGTAAATAACATGTACCATTCATAAAACCTACAAAAGACTTGAAGATTCTACCCAAAAAAGATTCTGTCATTCTAAGGGCATGATTAAGCCATTTTGACACGTACCCACCGCGCATGCATATGAAAGATAAAGATATAAAGCTAGACGTTATTCTATACAGTCAAAAACTGCGTAAAATATAAAACAAAAATAGTTAGTTTCTAAAAAAGAACACCTTAGAAAAACACACGTGTTTACTATCTAATTTTGGTAAACCCGTAACTTACGCCGTCAATCACAATGTCACCCCGAAAGTTTACCGTTAAAGAAAATTGTGTTTACAGCTGGCGACAAAAATCCTCATATATAAACTTTGTACTTCAAACTTCCTTTTCCTTCGGAAAATGGACAAGTCCTAGGAAGTTTTCACAAAAGAGAAAGCGTTAGTTGGTTCGTCTTTAGTTACTTTGAAATGGACTTATTGAATGAAAACTATACATAAAAAAAGTATATGATGTGTTCTAGCAGTCTAATTGTGATCATTATCAATGTCATTGACGGGAATTTTTCATTCTCATTCTCAATCTAGCCTCTATTTTGTTTGGGTTAAAGATTTTATCCAATTGTGTATACATCATATACATTCCGGCAAAATTAGCACCTAACATGGCGGCAAACATGGATGCTGTCATGATAGCCACCGGTTGTTTGCACGCCTCTTCAAAATCTTTTGGTGAAAATATACTGATTTCAGATTGTGTAGTTGTCATAGTCGTTGTGGTGATGGCTAAAAAAAAATGACTTGATTGCAAGGTAAAATGCGGGAAAGAAACATCATGCAGCCCGCTGATTCAGAACACTATCAATGTAATCAGCCATCACTCAAAGTGTGACAAATTTGAAACTGTGCCTTACTTGATGTTGTCGTGGTTGTGACAGATGTCGTTGAGGTAATGGCTACAGTTGTTGTGCCACCTGTAGTGATTGTCACAGCCATACCCGTAGTTGTCAAAGCTGGGTTCGCCGTCGTTGTACTAAGAGACTAAAGAAAAGAAAAGTTAAATAAAAACATTTTGAAGCAGAATAATAAAGACTTACTCTTGTAGTGACTGAGGGAATGGTACCTGCCGTTGTTGTGGTCGTTGTTGTACTTGATTGCTGAGAATCCCAAATTGTAAAATTCCAAAAATCCGAACCTATAAAAGGAAAAATTTGCAAAAAATTCTTTCTTCAAAAAAAGTCATTATAAACGTTTGCAACCTAATTCTGGCTTTGATTCAGGGCCACAAAACGCTGTTCCAGAAGATGCACCAGAATCAAATGTTATATAATAAAGAGCACCCGGCACCCAATTTGGATTTCGTACAATAAATAATATTGTTTGATTTGTATAGAGAAGATCCGGATAACTGGAATTTGCATCGTATCCACAGTCAATCTGCCAGACCACAGTACCATTTTGATGTATGATTTTTATATATGTCCCATTACGATTGGGGCGATGAACAGTACCAGTTGCTGAAGAAACAAGACGACTATATACCCAGGTCCAAGAAAACGGCACCATTAACGGTACGTTAACGTGCCGTAAACGGACCGTTTTCAGATACCAAAACTCGTAAAGTTTTACGGTCTTAAATATATCGTTTTGTAAACATTTTCTAACCATTTACTGAACGGTTTTTTGCCGTTTAGAGAACGTTAACGGGCCGTTTTCTTAACCTGGGCTGTTATATTAACTCCTAAAAAATTTTCGTCCGACTCCTTCATACTCACTTATCTGTCGAACGCTTTCTCGCTAGTCGACCTAATCTAGGTACTAGACTATACACCAGAGGTGGGCGATGGACTGTTTTTAACTCCCCCACGGCCTTCGCCTCATGCGGTTCTTTCCTTGTCATCATCCCGCCTCTCGTCAAGTTTTCAAAGATTCTTCTCCGCGCGGCCTCGCAAGAATCCTCGTCCATCGCCCACCTCTGCTATACACATAGTCTAACTGCACTATAACTTTTTTTGATTACTTGAAAATATCGAGATTCGAACGTCAGAACTTGTGTTTGCCAGTCTGTCAGTGTAACTAAATTGCCATGTCGGATCGAAAATTAATATGATTACTATTCAAGCTTGCAGGCTTAGTTTACATCTGGCTTATTGAGTGCACACAGTGTGAAATATAATGGAAGAAAAACGAAAAACGCATACATATTAGATGCTTTAAACTGTAAACAGGCCGTTAACAGCCAATTTACCGGCCCGTTTTTAGGTCGTTTTACAGTACTTTACAGTATACCAGTTTTAATGTGATTTTTGAATGTTCGGTCCTAGTTAACAGTTTAAAAATAGTGCATAACCGCCAAAAAACGGTATGTTTACGGCCCGTTAACGTAGACTTAACGGGATGTTTACACGACGTTAACAGACGGTTCTGTTTGGCCTGCAAACATTCGAAAATCACATTAAAATTGGTTTACCGTAAAGTATTGAAAAACGACCTAAAAATGGTACGTTAACTCGCCATTAATGGTCTATTTATGGTTAAAAGCATCTCTAATCGTGTATGTAAAAAGCGGCCTAAAAACGGTCCGTTAAGTGGCCGTTAATGGCCAACTTCTATAGAATTAGTCAGAAACGTTCAGCAAACGGACAGTAAACGGTGACCGTTAACTGACCGTTTTTTGATTTTAGACGTTTTCAGACAATTTTTCGACCGTGAAATGTCCACACTAAAATGGTCAAATTAACAGCTTGTTTCCTGTCCGTTTGTTTGCCGTTTTGAGAACTTTTTAACGTGCCGTTTGTTGTGTGACCGTTAACTGGCTATTAACGGGCCGTTTTTTTGGACCTGGATAATTTTTTTCCATCGTCAGAAACCTATAGTCAGATAGAATTGTTTACCTTGTATACTAAAAATCGATTGATTTGAAAATACGACACCGATGGGTGATTGAGTGCCAATAATATAGGCTGATTGTATTAAATCAGGACTACCAAGACCAGCGACATAGTTGATGCAATATTGAGAACCAGACAAGCCTTTGTTATCGATGGGTGATGCACAAAACACCTGAGGACCTGAAACAAATTATTTTTCAAAAATTTAAGAATATGATTATTAAACGACTACACGAAGACTCCTCGTACCATATTGATCTTCAGTTGGTGTCCATGTCATTGTAATGTAATAACTGGTCGGCGCTGATGTTCCAACTGGAAGCACAGACGTCTTTGTCATGTACATTGGCGTACTCGTTAAAAACTCTGTGATTGAATTATTAGCACAATAGACCTGAGCAATAATAGTTTCGGTCAATGTGACATTGATCGGAACACCTAAAGTATATTTGTGAATTCAATATACAAAAGCTATTTCGGGTTTCTTGCATCTCGCATACCGATGCATGCTCGATTTGAACGTACACCTGTGATGTTTAGAGGCGATTCACAAATGACGCTGATCAACATCGTACAAAGCTGATGTCAGCAGATAAAATGTGCAAAAATCAATTTCTGACCCTTTTTCCAGTGACAGCAAAGCTGCCAGACGCTTGCTTGACAGTGAAAATGCCAATTATCTATAACCAGCGTATTTTTCTCACTAAAGCGAGTATCAGACGCATATACTATTGAATTTCTCCATCTTTTACCATTGAGAAATTTTTTTTTCAATGATATTTCTGTCAATAAGAACACGTTTTACTGATATATTATTTCCGAAACATGTTAAAATATTTTCCAAACAAAAGCCCATCTTCAGCTTGAATCGATTCCTCGGGTATGAAATGGTCAAAACTCAATGGTGTCAAAACTTAATTGTCCTACTTTATTTATTGTTAGTGTTTTCTTAGTCCTGTCGATGCTGATAAACAATGGAAACCAATAGCAATGCAAGCACTGATTTATGCTGACTTCCACAATCTCAATAGCCAGTTGTGCGTTAGGAAAAACATTCTTAGAACTCCAATGTTAAGAAATTCATAAAGCGTGCCGGAACTTACACCCAAAAGTAAAAATACGACGACTCTTGTTCACACTCTCAGAGAGTGGCAATAGCCATTCCGTTTTATTTAACGTTCAAACACTATTTCAAAGATACTCACATCCATTCTATTTTGTTATGGATAGTAATAATCTTGACTAAATTAGTCCAGCAACAAGGAGGAAGACTATAAGGCACAAGAAATATCCTGAGAGCATACTTCAGTTTTGATTTGATTCATCGAATGTCATCTACAATTTCAACAAGATCTAGATGAGTAGGTGAAAGTGAATGATGGAAGATCGTGGCTGCTTTCTGAACGTATTCGAGTGCCTGCTGATGTTTCTTTGTGTCTTCGTGCACGAGACCAATATTCCCGTATGCTTGAGCGACAGAAGGATGAGTAAGTGGAAGAGACTTTGTTTTTATTTTCAATGAGTTCTCATAATTGGACAAGGCCATAGAGGCGATTCACAAATGACGCTGATCAACATCGTACAAAGCTGATGTCAGCAGATAAAATGTGCAAAAATCAATTTCTGACCCTTTTTCCAGTGACAGCAAAGCTGCCAGACGCTTGCTTGACAGTGAAAATGCCAATTATCTATAACCAGCGTATTTTTCTCACTAAAGCGAGTATCAGACGCATATACTATTGAATTTCTCCATCTTTTACCATTGAGAAATTTTTTTTTCAATGATATTTCTGTCAATAAGAACACGTTTTACTGATATATTATTTCCGAAACATGTTAAAATATTTTCCAAACAAAAGCCCATCTTCAGCTTGAATCGATTCCTCGGGTATGAAATGGTCAAAACTCAATGGTGTCTTCAACAATGTAGCAGGGCATTTTAGAGCTTCTATCTTGCCTCTCACTTTAGATTAAACAAATGAGGATTGATAAACAGAATGAGAGATTGGCTTATCCTCACTTAGCCGCGCCCTTTCTAGTTTAAATTATTAGATTTTTGCGCATTTTTAGAATCGTCGTCCGAATAACGAGTTGCGGTTGACGGATTGTGTGGATTACTGTTCTGTTTTTGTGGACAGACATTTGCGTTGTGTGCAGTTTGTTTACAAGTATGACAACGGACCTGGCAATCTCGTTTTCAATGTCATTTTTTATGACAAATGGGGCAGGATCCTGATGGCTGTTTAAATGATCGGTTTGCCGGATCAGAATTAGACTGATTACTGCTGTTGCTCTGATTATTATTATTATTATTATCTCGCCTTTTGTCGAACACTTATGCTGGCTTTTTACGAAAATCATTATTATCTCTTTCACTTTTAGGTGAAGGAGTAAAAGAGTCATCTCCTTTCTTTATTGTGTCTGAAAACGTAGATGATGAAGAAGAATACTCAAGGTTGGCGACAACAACAGTTGTTTCCGGTGTTTTCATACTTATTGATGGTTGACAAGTTATTGAACGAGATAATTCTCGTGAATTTACATCCA